TCTGAGGATCGCAAAAGCGGGAAACCCAGGGTCACAAACTCATATCCATACAACTGAAAATGTTAGCTCTATCACTGATATTGAATGCTTTCCACTAAGTACTGCGCATATATAATATATATATATATATATATATATATATATATATATATATATGTGTGTGTGTGTGTGTGTGTGTGTGTGAGAGCAGAATAGACGTAAGAAAGCGCTATTTATTCGTCTAAATATTAACTAATCACACAAAAGAAGACATAAAGCTAGCAGATAAATAGCGCTTTCTTACGTCTATTCTGCTCATCCGACAAAACAGTCCCGAGACAAATGGTGCCGGGTAGTCTATGTTATATTGTTAATATACCCATAGAAAACTAAATGTTTTTGTCGGTATCTATTTATAACCGCTATATCTCTTTATAACTTAGTCAATAATGATTCTCAGAAGATTTATTTTCTTTTTTCCTATGTGATTTGCGATGACATCAGAGAAACAGAATTGAGTGGTTTCACTCGAAATTCTTTCCAGTTATGAATTTAGTGTCGTCCTTCGTCCTGAGTAGCAGTAGCGCAATCTACATTGTTATTTGATACATGGCTAGTGGGAAGAGATTGATTCATCATTTCTGAAAGTGTATGTATACTAAATCTAATGTGATAGAATTTGAACTCTGATTGGCCATTCAGATTGCGTCAGTTAACGCGACATTTCCAACATTTTCTAGTGCTGCAGAAGCAAACTTAATGATGAAAGACATTTTTAAAACATTTATTATCAATGATTTGTTTTTAGAATCAATCAACAAGTTGTATTTTGAAAATTGCGACTAACGGCATTGTAAGTTTTCAGCAATTAAGACAGCCCTTATATAAAGAGAAGAGAAAGGCTTCTTAAATGTATAATTTTAACATTAAATTGAATAAATGAAAAAATATACCGCAGTTTTTTGTAGGGGTTCAGTATTTATGAATAATTTCGACAGCAGTCGTGAATAGATTGCTTTTAAATTTACAGTAATATTTCAGTCAAAACGCAACGTAAAAATATCCATTTTAACAGAACGTAAATGGTACCAGCAACTATTGTTATCACATGAAACAGAAGAAGAATAAAAAATATCTAATAATTCTTCTGCGTTACGTATAAGTCTTCGTCTTCTTTGTACCGTGTCCCTTTAAGGCGTAGGCTATAATGGCTCACCAAAAACATCTCTCCTTTGTTGCTCTTACTAAATTTTGTGTTTTTTTTTTAGGTCTTCTAGAATCTCTTCTTCTATCAATTTATTCAAGCTCACTCAAGTAATTTATGCATTTTTCTCATCTGTCCCTATGACCCCTTAATCTGTCTTGTGACTAAGATTTTCTAATCCCTCTTTCCTCATTATGAGTAATAGAATGTCTCAGCTGCCTCTTCCTGATGTTAAGTATAAGTTACCTTTTAGTTTCTCTTAAACTTCATCGTTGCTCACATATTCGATCTATGGCATCCACAGCATTATTTTTGATAATCGCATCACTTTGTAGGTACAGAAAATGTATCGGGCATTGACGCAGTATTTGAATTCGGCGTGCCGTGTTCTATTTCCGCTTAATTCAGTTTCGCTCATTTTTTTGATTATTCCATTGGAAAAACAGTTAATCCATCTTCCGCCATTTATGGATTATATAGCAGGGCATAATCTGTCCCATTGCCATGAGATAAAAACTAATGAAAGAGAAGGGTAACAGAAATTACAATCAGCCAGAAGAGGCATGATATTAGTCAGGCTATCTTAACAAAGAGATAGATTGCTGCTATGGCTGCATTGCATGTGGTATTTTTACGATACTAATGGGTTATGGAGCTCATGGAGTGATGTATTATATTAACAATCTATCTTAACAAAATGTCTGTTACAAATAGACTGAGTTGGCTCCGTAAAGCCAAGAAAATTTTAGGAGCCTCCAAACCGTTTCTACAGAATATTCCACTAAATTTTTTTTTCAGTTGGATCGATTTGCAAAAATGTTATTCAATACAACACACACAGTTATTTAGTGTTAAATAACAAAAAAAAAAACAAACTTAGTTCGTATATCTGAAATGATATTGCATATGTACATGGAATTAGTGATCATCGGGTTCGAAGAGCAGGTATTTCTAAACCATACAGTGGAGCCGAGCTCCTCGAAATTGCAACGTGACCTTTCATGACCACGTCTGTCACATCCGCTGGTAAAAATTCTTCCTATGCTTTGCTTTCGCGAACCTCACCCCACCGAATTGGAATGGGTGTGGAAAGCAAATGTTTCAATGCTCTCACCAAATCAATACTCGATCCAACTAGGCCAAATATGTATATATGCGTCTGGAGATCGCTTGTTAATCTAAATACCCTCTGAAAATCCTACTAGGAATTTGAATATCTGAATGAATACGACGTCTGAGGGAACCGACGTTCTGGGTGTTTCAACGGTGCGAGTGTCAGATGAGCAATAAAAAGGGCTTCAAACCGTTTTTTGATCGCGCGTGTCCAGGACTCGCCGTTGGCACCGTGGTTGATTAACTCTTACTGACTCAGTTGCATCAGACAACCGGTCACTGAGGGCTTTTAATCAGGATGCGACAGATTCGTTTGATGGAGCCTCCTCAAACGATCTTGGATTAATGCCCCAACAAGTACCACTAAGTAAGTAATTACTGATGATGATTACGGGAAACTTGTTCAGATAATACATTAGAATTAAAATCCGACATCAAAATTTGCCAGGAATTCATTGCAATCGATCGGTGTTTTGGAAGTCGTTCAACGCGTACAACATCCGAAAAATGCTGAATGTGTTCTGAATGACCAAAGAGATCTGTTGAATAACAACCGGAATATATAGAGATTCCAAGCACTAATATGAACACGATCTAGTCATTTTGAAGATCTCTATTGAAGATTTTCATTATCTGGAACACTTTACGATTTTAGTCAATACAACTTCACTCGGGTTTTCTTTCATCTCATAGAGATCAAGACTAGGTCTCTGAACTTCATTTTCTTTTCCAATTGCAACGGGGGAGATTTCAATGGACAGGCCAGATTAAGGACCTAGTGGGGAAGTGGGTAAGAGTTCATGAAGAGACCTTTACAGTGAGATTTGAAAAGTAAAAGCTTTGTTGTATCAGATATGTTTAGTTAGTTTAGTTTTTCCTTCCGCTTTTGCTGTTAGGCGTCACGGGGAGACGCAGTTATTTGTCATTGGCAAGGCAAGTGGCCTGGAGGATCAGGAAAGAAATGTCCAAAAATGATTATTTTGAAACAGGTGAAAGGATCTTTGCTTTGTATTATTAATTATCCATTAAAGATAACGGATCCAGAAATGGTATGGATTAGATATTTGAAAAAAACATATCAGATTGGAATTAAATTTATGTTAAAATTTTGAGGTGACAATGATGAACCAAATTTATTAAAGTATTGCATCCATATGATTTTTAGTAATGCTGTTAAAAAATAATTTATATATTTTCCTTCCAGATTATAAGAATATTATTCCTAATATAGGTCGGAATTTGTTCGGTACAACTAAAGAACACATTAGTAATGTTGTACTTCAGGAATTTTCTTAACGTATCAAACAAGTATAACAAGAAAATCCACCCAGCACACTTATAGTGCAGATGCATTGAGTGAAGGAATTTAAAGAAAGTGGCTTCTCCGTTTCAAAAATCTCGATAGAATTAGAGATAACTGGCCAAGGAGGTGTTTCTAAAAGGACTCAAATCAATCTTTGGGCGTTGCTTTCACAACAAAATCTGCTACTACGATTATTGGAGTCTGAGAAGTCCGAATACTTACATTATTTATTTCACTCGAACTGTTACCCGCATTTTTATTGTCATATTCACAACGTTTCGGCCGTTCTAAGCTCCGGAATATCGAACCGAACGCTTTATTTCGTCCACCGGGGTAAATATTTCTAGTTCACATGCCTTTTTATGTCACTTTAACTAAACTCAACAAGTTTTTGGTTCACTACTGCTGTGGTCTGGTAGTGAAGTCACAACTCCGAAAAGGCATTGCACGTAAAAATAGAACACTCTACCCCGGTGGACGAAATAAAGGGTTCAGTTCGAATTAATGTAAATAATACAAGTAATAATTACTCATCTCAGAGATATCGACAGAGAAAATCCGAATGTTCTCGCGTTTGTTAAAATATTTCCTAGACATTGACATTTTTGACACGTGATATAGAATTCTAAAATAGAAATGAAGCAGCTGGAAATTAAATACTGACGAGTGAAAGAATGTGAGTTTTATTCTCGATTTTGTGGTTGGATTTTTGCTTTCTGTTCCTCTTCCAGCATACGTCTACATTATTTTGCAGCGGATTACAACGTCAAACTTGATTTTAATTACTAAAACACTATAGATCTATGTTCTTCAAGTATAATAAAAAGAATAAAAAGGTCGGTGTAGGTTCTCTAGACTTGGCTGACATCCAGTCAAATAGAAAGTCTAATCTGAATTTAAAACTATGATGAATGTGTACAAAAATTTCTCCAATAACGTTCCAAAAGATTGATTGACTTTTTTTTTTTTTTTACGGTCTATCAATATTTTGCGAGTTATATAAAGCGAAAAATAGTTTGTATTAGATTCTAGGAAGTTTATGGAGGGAATAATCCTTTACTGATACAAGTCGTACTATTTATTCCGTATTTCAGAGTGTGGATTCATACTTTTCCCAAGGCTTTTTGTGCGTAAGTGTATATAACGAACCTGGCTGAAATTCGAACTCGGATCTCGGATTTGATTATTCTGAGCCGTTATCAATATTTAACACTTCATTTTTCACTCATTTTTTTCCTGCACTATTTAATTTCAGTCATGGGCTTTTTCTGTTGCTGTATGAGAAAACAACTGCGAAATTAAAACACGTTATTATTCAATTATTTGAGTCACTTGCAGAGGTAGGATAAATTTTTGGCTTTGCTAGTATGTAAAAAGTTAAAGCACTCACATATCCAAGCTTATAGCACCTGGTATTCTAAAGCGATCACCCACATAGGTACTGACAAAGCTCGACGTTGCTTAATTTCGGTGATCGTACGTGAACCGTTGTTTCAATGTGGTATGGACGTAAGCCACTTTTCAAAAGGAATCGTGGAATTCCACAGATAATTAAGAAAATGTAGAGGACCATGAACATGTAAATCCTGAAAGAAGATGATATTAAAAAAAAAGAAATTTAATATGTATTGTCTGATGTAGTCAAAAATTGTGACTCTGCATATTAATGGGCGTGAATAAGAATCTGCGTTCAAACAGTAGTTTTATTCTGGTTCCTTAGAAATGAATATGTATTGGTAAATCTAGGGAAATAATAGCAACTCATGGACAAGATTCTGAAATCATATCCGAACGAAAAGAATGAATAGGTTAACTGTAATTAGTATTAGATTACCGTAAAATAAAATTGATCGCTGTATGAACAGAGTAACGTCAAATCTAAGAAAATAATATGAAGTTTATTCCGTTAGACAATGAGACTATATAAAATATATAGTCTCATTGTCTAATATATATATAGTCTCATTGTCTAATATATATATATATATATATATATGTAGTCTCATTGTATAATATATATATATATATATATGTAGTCTCATATATATATATATATATATATATGTAGTCTCATTGTCTAATATATATATATATATATATATATCTCATTGTCTAATATATATATATATATATATAGTCTCATTGTTCAATATATATATATATATATATATATAGTCTCATTGTCTAATATATATATATATATATATATATAGTCTATATATATATATATATATATATATATATATATTTATAGTCTATATATATATATATATATATATATATATATATATATATATATATATCGTTATAAACTTTAAAAAACTGTTCGTTTTCGTTCAAGTGCCTTTGGGTAGATTTCAAATTATTAAGTAAAAATAATTTAATAGAAAAAAAATGACAAAAGAACGAAGTTCTAAAAAACAGAAGCAATAATGATTGTATCAGAACGTTTCAATAGTTTTATTTTTTATATGAAAATTGATTAAATAAACCGTTCATCTGCTCAAAATTCTGACCATCCACCTTCCTCTTCAGAAATCCAACTTTATCACTGAATATTTCTTCGACAAAAATAAGAAAATTACTTCTGTTCCTCTGAGACAAATAGCGGAATTATTACTACAACTTGTACTCATTACCCACGTTCATATTTGTTTGGACTCACAACGGATATAAAATGCATTTCCTGTGACAGAACAGTACAATACCCCATGAAATCCTTTTCACCTTAACTCTTCACTAACATCTTTTTGTACCGTGACCCTTGAGGACGTTGGTAATAAAGGTTATCCCCACCTTCCTCTCTTTTATAGCTATAAGTAGGCTATCTTTTCGACACGACACCGAATCCATTTTCTACCAACCAGGTACAAAAGAACTTGAGGTAGATTATTCTACTGTACCTGTGTATGTCAAGCCCTCTTTCCTTAATAATGTTCCCACGATATTTTAGTTGTCTCTTTCTGATTGAATCTGTAAGTATGCTTTGTTCTTCCATTTAACCTAATTTTTTTCTGTTGCACACCTGTTCTGTACATGCTTATCAGAGATTCAACATGTAGAACAACATTCCCGTAGTTTCAAGTCTCTTCTTTCTCCAGGAGATTGTCCAGCATTCACTGATATTACTTAACGGTTAAGTGCACATTTTTTTTTGTTTCTAACAAAATTTCCCTATATTTTTATACATTGTTTAGATTTTGGAAGACATCTTTCGCTATCTCAATACGATTTCCGGTTGCAGCACACAAAATAACTAGTGATTCAGCAAGTACTAAGTGGTCTGAGATTCATGCCTTTGAATTGGACTTGAGGGAAAATTGAGTTATCAGTCAATGATGGAATTCGAAATAATATCTTTTCTATCTAGACTGATACCGAGATTCCTGTTTCTAATGAAACTTCTTGAATCAGAATTGCTAGGTTTTATCAACAATAATGCTTCTATTACTGATTTTGTTTTAAATCTCATGTTCCTGTAGAATATAGGCGATTCTACCTCGCTACATACACACACACCAGGTTTAGCAGGAAAAGTGTCAAATCGTGTTACAGCATAGGACAATTTTCCTCCTACAATATGTTTAATATCTAAAAAACACTAAACTAATTCAGTTGTTTCCAGCTTTTGAGATGAGACTGTGAAATATTTTGACACCATTTTTGTTACAACAAACGGTGTCAAAACTTTTCCAAAAAAACCCTTTGATATATTCAGCCAGAAAGTAATGGTTAAAAAGCTTTTTGCGTGAGCCCCACTATGTTATACCAACTGACCAATGGTAAGAGGAAATGATCATTCAGGCCTTCAGTAATAGTATCAACATTCCTACTCTGAATGTCAAGTTCAAAATCCATTCAAGAACCATAAAGATTACACTCAATAAGTTTTACAAAGAAGAAACAGTAGAAAGGTATACTGGACCAGGAGATTGTAAAAGCAAGATCATCAATTCAACTTAAAGCTAAATATATTATTATTGTTCAAATTATTTTTCAATAGCTCTATAAAAAACTCGGAGAATTCCAGTAAGATATCTCTAATCATATCTAAGATACAACGGTTCAAATCCTAATTTAAAAATTAGATAATTTGGTGTTACACCAGGTGTGAGTGTATATAAATATACTTTCTTTATTATCTGTGAATTTACATGACTTCTTTGAAAAGTCATTTTAGTCTCCTTTTCGTCAGCAATCTTCACTACATTATAAGAAGACTGATATTCCATAAGCAATCAAACAAGCAGCAAGGAAATATTTTAAAATGGCAAGAAAAACACTTTATTCAGGAAAATAAAAATTAAATTCTTCGGATACATAATGAGGAAGGAGAGTTTGAAAAACTTAAAACTCGTGGGACGTAATGAGGGCAAAATATATAGGGGAAGTTAACTAGCCGCTTTCCTGACGAGGTTGTGTGAATGGATGGCCTAAGGGGAATGCCTTAAGGGCTAAATATGCTAAGTGTCAGAAGGGATAGTAAGTTTTGGAGAGCCATGATTGCCTATACCTTGAAGAGATGTGGCATATAAAAGAATATATTTTTTTTATATTTAGGACTGTCTACTTTTTCTGGCGACAGCAAGTCTTTTTAAATGCAGCGAAATTATTTACGTCGAACTTAGTAATCTTGACGTGTGGACATTTCAGCTGATTCTTGTTTACTATTTTAAAAACGGATTCTTGAAAGTGTTCCCAAATCATTAATAATGCTTTTTTATAAAAATAAACTTCAGAGAAGTTTTCACAGGTGTCCAGATTTATACACGCATTTTTTAAAAAAAAAAAGCCACTGTATTTAAATCGAAATGAGAATATGGTAATATTAATATAAGCCGTTTTCCCTACAAGGTAATATTAAGATTCATTGCCCGAGCAGTCAGTATTGATTTCGGTTGATATTTTTAAAATCTTAAAATTTCTTTTAGGAAAACAGTTTTCTCAAGTTCAGTCGGTGTTATAACATCTACCCTGTTTAGATGAAGTTTACTTTCTTTGAAATAGCGTCATCGTCTTGACTGTGTTATTCTTTTATCTTCACGTCACACGTGATATCCATTTTAGTTGATGCTACTTTTTTTAATTCTCAATTGATGTGAATTCTTTTATTTCGTACAGTCCTTTGTTTGTGATTCTCTATGCCAAGTAGTACGCAATATTAAAAGAAAATGATTTTATTTATTTGTCAAAACCCTCCGTTTTTACTCGTCCAAAGACTTTTTCACAACTGATCTTAGGAAGCCTTTTTATAAAGCTGAGAGTTTTAGATATATTTCTGAACTGTCTTGGCGACATGTATGATATCTATATGAAAGGAGACATGGCTCAGTAAATAAAAAGCGTTGTTTGAAATAATCCAATGACTTGGCACAAAAAGCTGCGTTACGAAAGATAATTAAATGAAACTGATATATTCAGAATAGGCATTGCACGTGGAAGTAAGACAATATACCGCAGTAGAATAAATAAAACGTTCGGTTTGGATTTCCAACATATATAATCTGAAGAAGACCAAAGCATACAACAGCCGAAACGTCGTGAATATGACATTAAGAACGAAGACAACAGTTCAAAATCGTGTAAATTATCCATATGGAAGTCCGACGATCTGACGAGGTTGTTGAAGGACATTACATGTGTGGAATATATTAACATTCATTACGCTAGTAGAAAAAAACATGTTGTACTAAATTCAAGGAGAAAATATTTAAGGATTCAACGTAGATGGAGATATTGCGGAAAAAATAGAAAATGAATCCCAAAAGGATATTCATTCGAATAAATTAAAATAAATATATTTAGTACTATTTGGAATGATTCGCTGAGGTTAAAAATACCTTCAAGCAACGTGAAGCGGATTTTAAAATCGTTTTCATTTCCATTCCTTCTAATCTGTAAACCATTTCAATTTGCCGAGGGACAAAGTGTAAAAGGCATAATCTGAAATTGTGATTCCCGTTTCCAGTGTGTGGTTTTGAAAATCGATTACGTACGTCAAATATAACCATGCGTAATACTCATCCGACCTTTTTTCGAAGATTAAAGTGTTAGAGAATTCAAATAAAAGTTAGTCTGGTAATTGCAATGTTACAATGTTTAAAGACACATTTAAAAGATGCCCTCGAGGCTTGACATTTTATTTGACGGATTTGTTTAAATTGCATGTTTCAAGGGTTTCCTTGCCATTGCTTTTATTCAAACACCGGTTGTGTTTCTCCCTCAAAGGCAAACTTAATTTTAAAAATCTAAACTATCCGAACCAAGGAGCTGACATATTTTGATGGGAGCTAATTTATGTGGAGTGAGTAGAAATGGTCAAATTGAAAATAAATAACAGAACCGGCTAACCAAAAGAATTGAAAAAAAGTTTACATTAATCATTAACAAGTAAAAAAAAAAAAGAAAGAAAGAAAACAAGGAAAAAATAATATAAAGCAAGCAAACAACATATGCAAAGCACATCCACAGCAATATGGGAAAATTGCACAAATTAAGAATTAGCGTCGACAC